AAAAAAAAACACGATTGACAGAGTGCATTTTGAATGCAGATGTAAAATAAATCTTCCATAAACGATTATTGTAAAAGAGGAAATAGAAACCTGCAGTTTCAGGATCACTCCAGTCGATTTTCCTCAAACACCGAACGGTGATATCAACACGGAAACGCGTTAACGCCACAATCATATGTCTTATGAAATCGTGCACAGGAGGATTAGTGGATGGTGCTGATTGTGCATTTTCCGGTGGTATACACGTATAATAAGCATTGTCGATTAACATCTAAAATAACACTACCACACTGAGTTTACACCCGATCACATCAATTCCAACTAAAACGAACATTTTGGCGTCATTTTTTCAATTTATAAAACAAATTCTACATTCGAGGTGACCGACAAAAAATGACTTCTATTGGATACAACACGATCCAATCGCAACTCAAATGAATTTCAAGTTCTATAAGTAAATTTCAATGGAAGGCAAATCAGTTCAACCGATAGAAGTGAGTAGAAGTGAGAATTTGATCAGAACCCACTGTTGACTGCCATTTNAGTCGACTTCGTTTCTTCATCATCACTTCCAGCAGAATCTTCATTTTACCGTGACTATCCGTTGATCTATACAAAAACTGACCCATCGAATCAACCATCGCGCAGCACATATCGACGTTATGGCCACGAAAATCGAACAGTACCATCCGCAAACACGACAATGCTTCTGCTTTCGGCACTATTCCGAACTTGACCTGAAATTGCACATTCGGAATATAACACATTCATCGATGAAATAGTCGAATCATATCAATAATGATAACACGGGTAATCGAAACAGTAATAATAATTATAATGATGACGAATACAACAAGAAACTGACTATTCCGAACTCTTCATCTTCACAATAATAGTGATGACGAGTACATTATTCGAATCATACTGATAAACAGTAATAACGAGCAATCGAATAAACAAAAGCAACCACAGAAACTGACCAACTCAGAGATGAATCTACAACAGCGGACTTTCCAATCAACGCGTAATCTCGAACGGTTTTGAACAGTGAGCCTAAACTGCTGGATGAGTGCATGCGATAGTTCAAGAGCCAGATCTGGCATTACAGGCTCCAGTGTGGCCACCAGACGTGCATAGAACGGTAGCAAATCAAGACGATCACGATGCTTTTCCAACATCACTACAAAACAACGATATTACTGCAAATGTGTGCACGCACAGAGCGAATCAAATCTGAGTAGTTAGCAACAGTGCATGATAATCAACTGCCTTCGGCATTATTTTCGACAACTTCATCATTAGGTAATA